AGTGTAATTTTTTTGATTGCAATAGGACAATCAAAAGTAATAAGAAGCGTTAAAGGCTTGAAAATAATTTTCTGTGAAAAATTTTCGAATAATTCCATTAACCAAAATGGAAACACTAAAAAAAGGAGGAATCTGACGTAAAAAATTAATTGAATTGAAAATAATTCAGATATTTGCGTCAATTATAAGAAAACTCAAGTCTGATTTGTGCGTTTCTCGACAGTTATTAATTGAGTACCACAAAATTTAAGGAGATTTTTTGAATTAATTACCTATTAAGGACTGCACTGTTTATAGCCATACGTCGAATAAAAGCCATTACTACAACTAACCATAAAGAAGTTGTATGTAAAGCTATGCTTAATACCATATGACATAACAAATATCGTATCCAAAAATACGAATAAATAGGTGAACTATAACAAAACATGCAGCTCATACAGATGAAAGGAACTAAAATTCAAAATATTGTCTATTTATGATATCACATTCGATATGATCCAGATATGTGATGAATAATATTATATAGATTATTATCATATTTAATAAGTTCCAGAAGTATAATTCAGGGAATAATCATAATATTAATATGAAAGTAAACATGAGGTTGATTAGTGTATCTGTGTTTATTCTTTCTAATGAGCGATACATGCGGAAACAAAAAATATAATAACTTTGAGTGATAAAATTAAATTACATTATTAAATTGTAGTGCAAACTAAGAATTCTTCAGATGACAGACACTAGAAATTAAATAAATTCAGATATTTTTTTTTTGAGCTCACAGTTGCAAATAAAACTATTAAAATTATTTCAAAAATACTAATTATAAAGCTAAAACTTACCAAGCATCATCTTTAAAGAGGACAAAATGAAAAATGTAAATAGAATATGATGACATGGTGCCCATGTCGCATAGTGCTACCGCAGTTAATACGCAATTCACGGCAGAAGATCGCATATTTGGCCTTGTTAGTACCAAAACGTGAACCATATTTGCTACAATGCTGAATGTACATATTACCACGCAAATAAAGCCGTGAATTGGTGCGTAAGATCTGCAAACGCATGTCAATTCGAAATTAAAAATTTTTGATACAAAATTTTTTTCAGTGACAGTATACAAAAATTACATAAATCTAAACAAGCTATTGCATATTCTAATTTTTAACATATGTGTATGTATATATTAAAAATATATACATGCAAATATATGATTAAAAACTTGATAATAACTTTATCATATTGTTGAATAATTTTTAGTAACAAAGAATAAATCGCAACTACTGTTTACTTTGAATAAAAGTAATATTTATAAAACTTAAATGATATTTAATATATATACATATGCATTTTAAAAAATTTTCAATTCAAAATTTAAAAGTTAATTTTGTCGAAAATAAAATTTGCATAGCAAATTAATTTTTTTTTAAATATTAACTTTTTTGATTTTAGAAGTAATATGTGTGAATACAAACCTTTGAAACGCTTCTAAAGCTGCTAGTAATTGCATAGTGTTATTATTACCGAAATCGAATAAAGATGTATCATTTGCACATAACATTTTCTGCACATTACAAAAATACTTCTGAAATTGTTCCACTGAAAATTAAAAATTTAAGTTAATTTATGAACTCAACAATTGTGAAGTGATTAAGTTTCATTTAAATTTAGAAAACAAAAAATATCATAAAAGCGGATTAATAATTAATTGATTTGAAGTGCATAATTTGAAATATTCTTATACTTGTAAAAATTATTTTTGTAAATTAATGTTTCAAGATTTGAGCAATATTAATTTAATTTTTTCCAAATTAAAAAAGTACTTGCAAATTAGTGAATTTAAATAACTGATAAGAGATTTACTGATAAAATTAATTTAGATTTAACTAAAGTAATTAATGATTATTTTCGTGCGTACTTTTTTATAACTGAAACGCAAGTGCAATTAAAATAATAAAAAAATAACTAAATGTTATTTAAACAGTAATCTAAAAATTCTAAAGTTCCATTTATACATTCATTTATTTTTAATAAATCAGAATTTAAATATTTATTTATTTACTTTAATTATTTGCGCACCTAAAAGTTTACTTATTTACAATATTATTTGTAAACAGTAAAATATAACAATCAGTATATGATTAAAAGCTTAATAATAATTTTATCGTATCTACTGTAATTGCTGAATAACTTTTAATTAATTGCAAATACTGTATTCTTTGAATAAAAGTAATATTAAAACAACTTTTGAATAATATAGAGTGGAAATGGAGAGCGAAGGAATAAATTCGAAATATTCATAAACAGGCCAACACAAAAAAAAATGAATTTCCAAAAGTGAAGCTTAATGCTATGGTAGTCAAGTCACAAACAAAATTTTTAAATGCTAATTTAAAAATTGAAAATTCGAAAAAATTTAGCGTAAAATCTTTTTCGCAAAAAAGAGATTATTTAAAAATTGTCAATTTTTAAATTTCTTTTGTTGAAAATTTTGATGTAATGAAACAGTTTAAGAAAATTTCTATCAAAGTAATGCAATTTCAGTGTTAATTATTAATCAGTGACTTTTGCAAGCACAAATTTGAAAAAATACTACTTCTTCAGTTCATATTAATTATTTTTTTTAATTTATTTTCCAACAACGCTTTTTTAAAGCAAACAATTGAATTTTTAAATATGCCAAACACTATTAATAACTAATGATTCAAATTAAAAAAAAAATCCTATTAAATTTTTGAACAATTTTAAATTAGATATATATAAGTTAAATAACTTAACAAATAAATGTCAGTTACCTTTATAATTCTGAATTATTTTAAAAAATTTTTTATAATTTTATGATTCTGAATTTTAAAAAAAATATGAATAATAATATTAATTTCGTGAGAATTATGCAAAATAAAGCATAATTATACAAAAATTGATAAATAAAAGTACACGATAAAAAATGAAAAAGTATGTAATAGAATCGTTAATATTTGAATTATGCATATTAAAATCACAAGAATTTTTACAATGTAATAATTTAGTAAATAGATTTGATTGCTTTTCTTCATTTACGTAAAAGCCATTTTATTCACACATAAATATTTTATAAATATCATAAAAATATAAATGCTTTTACTAACAATTTTAATTAATGAAAAAATGATTTTTATTGCCAATAAAAGATTTTCGTTGCAAATTTATAAAATTACTGAATCAGTAAATTGTTTAGTAATACTTGTTATAAGTGAATTTCATTCCTTACAGTTAATTAATAGCACTGCTGGCAAATTTAAAATGATTTTTTTACTGCTAATTATTAAATGAGCAAAAATCATAAATTACTAAATATTTATACTCAAGTATATAAAACTTATATAATAAGTATTTGCAATAAATAATATAAAAATTTGAAATTATTAATGACTTTAGATAACACGTAATTATTAATGACTTTAGATAAGCACGTAACTCATTTTAAATCTGAACTTTAAATTCAACGATAACATTTGTTGATTACTAAATGCTACTGACTTGTATATTTCAGATAAAATTTCTTGCAAATAGATGAAATTCAGCAGCAAGTATAAGTTTTAACGTAAAAATTGACAATTATCAATCAGTTTGTTTTGAGTATTTTTCAATCTTAACTAAATTTCTGCCTGCATTGAGCTTCAGAACAAAACTTGTCTATAATCTTCTCAGAGATAACATTTACTACCCGCGAGAATTGCTATTTTGAATAAACGACTAAATGCAAAATTTACTTTAATACAAATAAATAAATAATTATTGTTTGTCATTTTTGCAGCATAAAATATTTATTAAATTTAATAGAAATATTGAAAAAGTTTGAAAAAAATGTGTTAAAAAAAGTAATTACTGAATTATTTAATGTAAATTACGTTTGCGATATTAAGAAGTAAGTAATTACCATAATCATTAAAGTTAAATTACTCTATTCAATATAAGGTAAAAATTGAGAAGATTATAATATTACATTAAAGTTAGTAAATTATATTTAATATTAAGAAGAGATTAAATAAATTGTAGTAATAAATTAAAATATCCGAAAACGCCTTGTTTGACGACAAATGAATGCTTTTGCTTTCAAATAAATTCTTCATTCTTAAACTTAATATTAATTAAATATGCATTTTATTGATATTGATCAATAAACTTAATATTAATATTACTGATATACTTATTGATATACTTAATACTAACTCAACATGCATTTTATTGACTATGTTAATTACAAGTGAATACCGTTATAGTTTGGTGCTTTAAAAATAAGTAAATTAAGAATACGATGAAATTTTACGCGATAAAATCACTGATTGCTGTAAGGAATATGACGATTATGTAACTTATCGTTTTAATAAAACAATTTTATTTAAATATGACTTATATTCAAGAAGCTAATGTTTAGGTGAGTAAAAGAGAATAGCTTATATTTCTTTACGCTAACAGCTTTTCATAAATGCTCAAAATTATTAAAATGTTTAAAATATATATTCAGCATTTACATTTAATTTTCTAGTAAATATATAATTTGTATATATTTGTGCAAAATATTTAGGTATTATAATTAGTTTTATAGAAGAATACATTTTCAGAAAATTTTATCAGATAATTACAGAATATTCAAGCAAGCTTAATTAATTACATTTTTCACTGAAATGTATAATTTCTTCTATCATTAATTTTTTGAAAAAAAAATTGGATTTTTCTGTTATAAAATTTCAGTATAAATTTTTTATACCTGTTGCTTGTTATTTTATTTATTATTCCAAAATAATAAATTTTGAAAAAATTAATTAAACTTAGCAAAGCATATAATGCACAAATTTTTAATGCAATTCATATTTTGTCTGCATAAAATTTTTTTAGAAATTTCCAAATTTTATTAATAATTTTACAATAAAATTTTATCAAAAATTGTCATCTAAATTTTTCTGTGAAAACCCAGAATTATTATTTTAAGCAGAGTTGTTATAAAAATTATTAATCTTTGTTTTTTGATTGCAATCTGTCAGTGTGAGAAATAATTGAACAGAAATAAGAAATTAAATATGTAATAAGTTGAAAATAAAAAGTATAAAATAATTTAAAAAATTAAAAAATATGTCAGACAAGTAAGTGAATTATTGATTTTTACAAGCTTTTTAAATTTTAATTGTCATAACACGCATAACTTTTGATTTTGAAAGTGTATTTTGAAAAATATCCTATAACTTCAGTTACATTTATAAATCTTGTAAATGCTTGCTGCAAAGCATTAATTGCCTTTTTATGTTAATTTGAAAAGTCATTATCGAAAATAAAAATACTCTGCGTGAAAAGTTTATAAAATATTTAAATAATACTTTGCGTTATAAAATTATGGCATTTACAACTTTTTAATTGAAAAGTTAGCACATTTTACAAATCTGAGAGCTTTAAAGTAATATATTTTAGCAATATTTTGACATAAAAATTAACAACAAATTAATAAATTTTTATATTTATAGTATAACTATAAATTAATAAATTTAAATATTTTATAAGTTAATTGATTTAAATATTATTTTAACACATTTACCGATAAAACTGTAAATTTGAACGTGCTGAAGGGACATTATTTAATAAAGCTTAATTAAATAATTAAGCGAATATATTTTTGCATATACAAATGAATAAAAAATTAATCATAAATAATAAGTAAAAGCAAATTTTAAATAAATTTTCTAGTAAATAGCTGGAATTCAGTTGTAAGCATAAGTTAGTGATAATAACATCAATATGCGTTTATTTTGACTACTTTCCCGCTTCAAGTAAGTTTTTGCACAGAATTGAGTAGAAATTAGTTAATCTAAGTCATTATTCGAGCTAACATTTATTGCATTGTTATTTGTTGCATGAAATAAATATTTTGATCTAGTTTATTGCATTGCTATTTTTTACTTTTAATATATAATTCTTTTTTTCTACAATTGTACAAATAAAAGTTATTTACTAAAAGTTGAAATATTATTTAATGTATTGGCTTAATTAATTAAACTAACAAAATTTATCGATAAATAAATAAAGTTAGAAATTTAAATTTAAATTTATATATTAACAATTAAATATTAAAGTTTGCTATTTTCATTGAAATATATAAATAATGAATTTATGAATTATTTTTAAATAACAAAATATTTCAATTGTTGAGCAATTCAACTTTTTTTCATTGATTTTTTAAAGCAATTCAAATATGCTTTATTTAGATATAACTATTTAAGTATAAAAATAATTTATAAATTAATTATTTATATATTTCATTTTTAACAATCGGAATACTTCACAAAAAATTGCTTATCAATCGAAATATTTTGCATTTTTTAAGACTTCATAAAATTTCTTGCTTCAATATTTAAACAATTTAGGAAAAACTTGTTAGCAATTGAACTATTTTGTATTTTTTAAAAATTCTTTAATAAAATTACCAAAAATTTACATAATAAGCAAAATTTCTCAACATTTGTATCATTATAACTGAATATCTAAAAATTTTCATACATTTACACTGCAGTTGAACAACAATAAATTTGCAAATTGAACGTCAGAAGCAATGTTTGTCTAATGCAAAATTGCCTATCATACTCGGATATAAATCAGAAATTCTTGCAGTAAAGTATTAAAAAATATCGCTTATTTAATAAAGCTTAATAGATTAAAATAGAAATATTATCATAATTAAAAAAAACAAAGACTTTTTGAAAAAATCAAAAATTTTTTTATGCAAATGACGAAAATATGCTTAATTATTAAAATTTTACAACATAATTTACAAATTTTTGTTTTGTTTGATTAAAATATGTATTCGAATAGCACAAAAATCAAGCAAAAATGATTACTTAAATGTTTTTTTTTTATGGTGAAAAATGATTTTGAACTGCAATTAAAGGAATGTGCGTACTTAAATAAAATTTAGTTAAATTTTTGCAAATTTTGAATTTTTTGATGGACATGCACTAATTTCATACAACACTCACAAAATCTTATCATTAATATAGTCTAACAATTGATGACTTATTTGTCATCAAAATATCGCGCAGAAATTTGATAACATATTTTCCATCCATCAACACATACTTGATTCCATTTTTAACGCTAAAATATACTGTAACGTACAGTGCTAATATATGCGCAAAAATATTTGTGCTGTTTAACATTTCTCTGCTAGTACATTTTTTGCATACCGTATTACTTGCTATTTCACTGTAACATACAGTACTTCAACTTTGCTATCGCATATTTAAGAATAAAAATCTCAAAGAATTTCATTATGCCTTCTGTTTGAGTAAAATCGTCGCATAGCGCTATTGGTTTGATGATTGGTTTATATAATAATCTTATTTGATCCTTTTATGAATTTTTGGTGCTATGCAATTTATGAATTTCTAAGTCTTCTTGCATTTCACAGGTGCTTTATAATAGTGATAATAACGTCATGCAATAAATTTTAAGCATTAGGAAAATTGAGAATTGTTAATATATTTAACTTTTTTACTCCTAAAAAATTTAACCTCTGAAATATTTGTTGCTAATTCTCATCATCTGTTCTGTTACACAGATCGGAATGTAATCGTTACATCCTTATCTTATCTTACTATTTTACCTTTGTTTTTAATAAATTTGATTACAAAATAATTACAAAAAATACAAAGTAAAGGTTTTTGTAAAAACTATGTGGTGACATACTTCATCAATGCAACATTCGGATCTTCAGAAAATCCTGAGAGAAGCATTTAATTTAAGAATTTATTTATAATGAGAAATTTTTTAATTTTTCATTTTGGTATCTTTTCTATGTCGCAACTGTCATGATTGCATTTTGGTTTATGCATGTACTTTGCATCATTAATTACTTTGTAAATTGAAAACTTATTTGAATTGTATTATTTTAAATTACATTTCACCAATGACATCTTAATTGTTTCATTTTGTGAAATTAAACAATGTAATTACTAGAATTTATTAAGTGTCATTTAAATTTTAACGTATTTCAGTGTGATGAAAATTAAATTAAGAATAGCGCAAACATTAACTTGGAAAGAAGACTGTAGCGCTGTTATTCATTATTGCGACTAGTGAGAAATATTTTGATCTTTGTCGACCAAGAAATTTATTTCTCACAATTTTTGCAGTAATCAGTACAGGAGAATAAAGGGGATAAAAAGTATTATATCATGGAAAACAGTTTATCCAGTCACAAACGTCGTCATAGTTCTGTTCGTTTCAAACTTTTTCATATCAGTGTTTAACAGTTGCAAGAATTTTTTTGCCAATTCACAGATTTTTTTTTGGATTGCATTTTCATAATTCTAAGTGAGTAATATGTTTGTGGCTTTTACATTATTTAATGTTCTTTTAATTTCGTTAAATCTCATGGACATGAATTGTTCTTAAAGATATATAGCTATTGCTTTATTTTCATAAAATTTTGTTCCATGGAGAAACCTTCGTGAAACAAAATTTTGTCTTCTTATTTCATGTATTTATTGATAGCATAATACCTGCACATTTTTAAAATTAGAAACGTGATTCTTCAACCCGAGATGATGGGCATTCAAAGCATCATCATCACAAAAGCCATAAGAAGAAACGGCGGCGGTCACGGAGCCGGTCTTTTTCGACATCATTGTCACCAATTGCTAGGAGAAACCCAGTTGTATATATGAATCCTGCTTTTCAGTGAGTTTTTCTACTTTTTATTTTCTGTTACTTTAATTATTTAAATCATATCTGACGTAGTAGATAATGCAAATATCGCATTAATATGTAAGAAGTTTGGAGAATTAATTTTAAAAAATTTATTTTTAAAATGTTGTAGGTCTGCATATGGTAATTCGAGAGGCCCATCGCATTCAGATTTCGAATTGCGAGCTACTCTGATTAGTCAGCTATCAGCTAGTGAACAGCGAATAAGTTCGTTGGAATCGGAACTGAGAGCTGCACAGTTAGCACGCGGGAGAGCTGAACAAACTGTATTTGATGTCAACGCAGAAAAATTGCGACTAGAAGCACAAAATTCAGAGATTTTGCAGGTGATTTTGGAAAAAATTATTTCTTTGTACAAAATTAAATAAATTGATTAGGGATGACAAGAAGCTGTTATGACCTAAAAGTTGTATTTGTAATTTTCTCTTTTGTAAGAATTTTGATATTTTTAAAAATACGGTAGGCCTATAAAAAAAGCATTGATATCAAATGCGGTTTATTCATTTCTGAGATTGCTAGTGAAGACTGCTATGTAAATCTCTAATATGATGTCTGTGCTCTGCGTTGTATCATCTTATGGCAGTAACTTGATAAGACGATATTATAATACTTTTAGTTTGAAATATGATGAATATTATGGAGACATTAATATGATTTAGTATAGGAATGAGGTCATTTTCAGTCCAAAAATTTGCATGGGCATTGTGAGATCCTTCAAAATGATTATAGCCTGCGTTTTTACTGCCGCTACAAATCGACGTTTTTTTATTTAACTTGTTTCAGTTTTTGTCAGTTATTTCTGGTACTTGGTAATTTTAGGTGATGAAAACACTTGAACGTGCTGTAGAAAATTTGCAAAAAACATGTAGTAGCTTGAAAATGGAATCTGATCGACGTCGAAAAGACGCTGATAATGCAGAAAAAACTATTCTCTCATGTAAAGAGCAAAATAAGTTTTTAAATGATAGAAATATGAAGCTTGTAAAGAAATGTGAAGAACTGTGTGGAGAAAACAAAGCTATTCTTAATAGGTATGTATTTTCGGAATTTTTGTTTTTTTGGTTATTTTTCAGTCGATATTTCGCCATCTTTTTTGACTAAATTCTTACATGCTTTTTAACGATATGTAATTTATTTTTTCTAGTCAAGGATTGGGAGTTAATGTTATTATCGTTTTACTATCTTATTTTCCTACCTTTGTAATCTAATCTGGGCTCTTATCTTTAACTTTCTAGGCGTGATGAATCGTCTAAAGAAATCGCTGAAATGAGACCACGATTCGAAAAATTACAAATTGAGCTAAGGCAAAGAATTGAAGACGGAAGGTAATTATCAATGCTTAAGATTTTCTTCAATTTATAATCATGAAGTTTGACTAAATAGAAAGTTTTGCTGTTCTAATCTTTTAAAATGGTTTTTCTGACAAGAGAAAATATTTTTCATAGTATAGATTGTTTGGTTTTGTTTTAAGTTTTCTTCTTCTTGGAACAAATTTCATCCTTCAGAAAAATGATGGCCCAGCTAAGAAGTTATGAAGAAAAGGAACGAATATGGAGAAAGGTAGCATGCGAATATTTTTGCAGTGATTGTTGCAGCGTTTCGATTTCTACCCATTTATTTCATGCTTTCTTAGATTCACTTAGTGTATTAATTATTTTCAAATATTTTTTTATATTGTTTTCAAATATTTTAAAATCATTCCCACATTACTCTATAGTCATTTAGGAAAAAGCAGATCTAGAAAAGCGAATAGAAATCAAAGATGCGATGGCAGCTGCTGAAAGAAAAAATAATGATGAATGGAAAAAGCGACATCTCAATGAAAAAGCAGATTTGGAAAGGAAAATAAAACTAGTTGAACCAGAAATACGTCGTTTACTCGATGCTGTGAGCATTTTATTTCAGATTAGATTTTTCAAATCTTTCATAAAGTTCAAGCAGCGTTTCATGCCATTTAAAAGATTATTTCATTTTTTTTCGTGCCTTTTGATTATTTTTCTAACCTCAAGGTAATGGATCTGATCATTATTTACTATGAATTGTTAAAACAGCTTTGATATCACCTACTTTGGATCATTGATGAACTACTATCAGGAAGTTTTATTTGCTCATCTAACTTTAGATTCTCTGTCTGAAGATACACTTTGCGAAGAAAATGAAACATATTTGTATTGATATGTTATGTCTCTTTTGAAATGCATTACGTTCAGGCTTGTCGCATCTTGTTGCAACAATATATCCAACGCTCTCATGCACCTTTAATACTTTTCAAATGAATAAAATCGCAGGAAATATAACAATCAACAACAATTTTTGTCTTTAAGTCTGCATTATTATTTTTAAGGATCATTTTTTATATGAGATAAACCTGATTCCAAGTATGCTTTAGACTTAAAGCTCGGTTATCATCGTGGTGCATGTGAGCCTGATCTCTTCTAAATAGATTTTGTTCTGATGGCAAAATCATTGTTTCTTGTGTAAATTAATTGCAAATTTGTCTTTAATTTGATCAGAATCTTAATGATCAGTTGCTAAGGTACTATTGTGTAACACTTTATATGGGAATTGGGTTATTTATAAGCTCTGCAAAGTACTCAAAACTGATTTTTTCCACATTACCAAACTAGTTTTAAAAAATCTTCGTAAGGAGAAAGAACCAGTTACAGGAAACAATAAAGAACGCAGTAGAAGAAATTCGTGCATTTTACGATCAGAAACTGGAGCTAACATTGAATGAGCTAAATACGTTGAAAATGAAGCTTGCAAAAAAAGCAGAAGAATCATCTTCATCTTCCTCACTTTATATTGGAAAACATCGTTCGATGTCGGCACCACCATATTGTTATATGTCATCTTTTAAAGTCTCTTTATCGAACGGTGTTCCTTCTTTATCATCTACTCTAACTACATATTCTTCTTTGTCTAGTCCACCAGATGGAAATGAGAATATTACATAATAATGATTTCTGGTATTTTTTTTATTGTTGGATTGTTATTGATATCTATATTTTCGATTGTACTCATATTCATTATTGTTTTATTTGCATATGTTTCTCTGTTTCTAATTTTGCTTGTCTTCTGCCAAATTTTATTTGCTTGTGATAATAATAATACGAATTTTGTTCAGAAAGAAATTGTCGATTTTATTCTTAAACTTACAATATAACGATTCGTTTTTACGAAATATCAAATTTAGAGATTAATTCAACAAAATTATTGTTAAAAATTTGCTGAAGCTCAATTGCTGAGCTTTATATTTGAAAAACGAATTTAACCTACTATCATGAGTTATTACCAAGATGAGTTTTTTCAATCCCACTAAGAACATAATTTTGCTGATATAATTCTTTGACTGTTTTATTTGGTGCTTATTTGTTGAGTCATATCATATAATTTTCCTTGTATTGTACTTGTTTTTTTTTTGATTATCAGCAATCAGCAAGTTTTTTGCTGTTTTAATGGGAATGTTTGTTCCTACCAGATGATATTTTTACTGTAGACAAATTCTGTAACTGCTTTATTAGTAATCTTTTATTGAGTCAACTGTGCATGGCTTTAATGACATAAGAAACAGATAAGATGATAGATTATATTGAAATTTTCGTACGGAAAAAAATCGAAAAATTTGCTTATTGCTTTAATAAAATAGAAATTGAGAACGACATCGTTTTATTTGTGGTGCAGTACTTATTAGTGTTCCAGCGATACCAGCGTCATTAATGAAATGCTATCAAATGCATCAACACTGCACCATATCAGGGTTACTATGCTCAAATTTAATTTCAGAATTATCTCTTTGGGAACATAATTCTTGACAGGATAGTAATTGGGGATCTTAATATACTTAAGGACTGTCAACAAAGGAGTGGTGCGGACCAGTGATATGGGCAATTTCTGCTACTTGTATCATGTGAATATCCTTGAATTGTTGTTGATGCAGCCTTATTATATTGAACTCTACTTATGTGGTGCTATTTGTTAATTTCATCTATTATTTTTACGGGTTTTTCTAGTTCCAATTATTCAGATTTCCATGTTATCATTTCTCTTCTTTGTAGTTGACACAGTGGTTCGTTATTTCTTGCAATATCTGTGATTTTCCCATAAATCACTACTACAAAGTACTCAAGTCTACATCCATAAATCTGTAAGTATTAATGAATTTAATTGGTTCTACATCACTTGTGATTTGAGCTTAGAATTTTTTTAAATGTTCCATCAGCAATTACATAATGCATCTAATAGTGTAATGAAAAAGGTTTGCCCCACCATGCTTTTGAACGACTTTTGTAGTTCCAGAGTATTTCTTTTTCTTTACTACTAATTAATAAGATTCATGATGGAACCGTGCCATAATTTTATAACTTGTAAGTTTCCAGAATACGAAACAGTTTACTGTTTCAAAAATTTTACGATGTCATTACATATACAAACAAAAATAATAATATGCGCAGATTATACGAGAAACTAGAACTACAAAACTAGAATAGTTAAAGTAAAGAGAATTAATACTCTACTAACAAATGCACGTCCATCCAGGCGTTGCACACAAGAACAGATAATTCTACGCTTCCGTCATAGCATAACTTCGAAAGTCACTACCAAACTACGAAATTCACTATTATAGAATCATTTTTCCTTTTTTAACACTAGCTGCAGTGAGAAAATTACGAATCCAAAATTATGTGAAATAGGGCTTTTTATGATCCTCCTGACAAGAACAAAACAAACATCTAAATTTCGTGAGCCTCCATTCAGTCAACAATATCATGATGACTAAAATTACGAAAGTCGAGTACTAAGCTAGAAACATCGCAATCTCTAATAGCTTTCAAGCATATGGCATTTGCATTATTATTCTTACTGACAAGAGCGAAAAATATACTAAGAAAGACTATTACAATAAATACTAAACTGATGCAAAAGAAAGCATTTTAAATAGTACGCATTACATAAACAAATATATATTAATTCAACACAAAATATTTTGTCAATAAGATGTGGAGATTATTTGCTTTAGGATCTTAAACTTTTAAAATGAGTTTAAATACTTGACAATATGAAAAACATTCCACAGTGCTATCAAAGAAAAACACTTCAAAACACTTTTAGCAAAACAGAAATTTGTAAGAAGTAAAAAAGTTGAAAGATCTATTATATAACAATCAGTAAATCAACCTATATGCTTGCAAAAAATGGTTTGTGCTGGGAGCTCAAAATAACAACAAAGTTCAAGATTATGGGCGTGTAATCAAGTCGCCATCGTAATTATAAAAAAAAGACATATTATGTAATCATGACTTCTTGACTGCAGCGTTGTTCGATGCACTACTCGACCTAGAATCGTTTCACAGATAGAAATTGACGTATCATAACCAAACACTCATGCAGAATCTTTTTTTTCATGCTATTAAACCCAAAGAAAAACAAACATCTAGTAAATACATAGATAAACTTCCAGATTCGGCAGCGCATAAGTTAAAAAAACGAGCAGAAAAAGTGTGAATAATAAATGGTTTAGTGTCTGTTTCCAACTTTAAAAAAATTTATGAGGAGAAACAAAAAAGATTATATTGCATTGCTTACTAAAATGGTTATTCGAATTAATAAATAGACACGTAGTAGAAAAATGCAAAAACCGGTATTCATGAAAACACAACTATTTCAGAAATACCTTTTACTAGAATTTGGTGATTTGTCTGCAGTAGGATTTACTGGAGCTAACAAACCATATCCAACTGAAGAATTCCGTTTTACGGTGAAGCTTGTCAAAGGTGTTTTGCTTAATATGTGTGGATCTTTATCTTGAGGAGGATTGAGTTCAACCGCTGCCAAACGCTTCCACAAATCTTCACGTTCCTTCTCTCTTTTCTTTTCCCTAAATTATTACCCAATAATAAATTAATACTAACATATAAATATATTGATAGAAAACACACTTCCTTCAAATTCAAGATAGATTTTTGAAAGGCATCTTCTAAAATCCAAAAACCATTTACGTCCTAATAGCAACAGATTTCAGACGGTTGCAGAAAAATTCTGCAGATGAAATACAATGTAATGTAAATATTAACCAAGGGGCAATAAAAAATATATTTTACCAATGATTCCAGAACGACAAAAAAATCTTGCCTCTGTCTTTCATGCTTATAATTTGCCGTCAGTTCATCGAAAAGCTTTCCATTCATTTCCATAAAAGTTTTAAGAACATTATAGACAAGAGCCACAATGGTCTGGTTCCAGTGTTCTTTGCTTATCCGATATAGCGCAGGGAACATTATTGGCATGACCTTCACTTTCATGATCAATGGTAAAAAGAAATATTAACTTTTAATTCTTCTGATGTAACAGATAGCGTATATTTAAACCATCATAGGTCCAAGTGGTATCACTTGAAATAACACTTAAAGCTTAGGTCAGATGCATTATTGAAAGGCATCTTTTAAACGATGAGAACAACTTCTGTTTCAATGACAATTGATTTCATCAGCTGTATTTAGACAGTTGCAGATAAATTACGCAAGCATGTCGCTAAATGACGAAAAACAGAAGTTGTATCACTTGTTTAATTTAATTTGCCTATCCTAATTGAAATTAAATTTCTATTCCGACTCAACAGGACAATACAAGTGTCGAAATACTTTACCTGATCAATGTTTTCTTCGATAAGTGACAGGATATACTCATTATTCCAGAAATAAAGCGCTCTCTCTGCTACCTAAAAAAAATGATAGACCGGAGTGATTTTTTAACAACATATAATATAAAAATATAACAAATAGAAAATGAAGAAATATTACTTGAAAGTGAGGACTAGAAACACATTTTGCAAGTTGTTTGAATAATGGGTCGATAATTTTTTTGAACTGCTCTGGTTCAATAATATCGAGAATCTCTTCAACTTCACCCAAGAACATCACCTGTGATTAAAACTTATAATAACTCATGCTCTTTTAATTGACAATAATCTCCAAAGCTAAAAAAGATCATGAACGAGAACTTTTTTAAATAAATCATAGCTTATCAGACACAATACTTACTTCTTTTGCACTGCATGTCCTTGGCCAGAATTTCAGTAGAGCTTCGAATACCTGTGGGGTAAGAGTGGAATCCTTTTCAATAAACTGAACAACACAATAAGCAAGCTGAAAAATTTCCAAAGTTTTGCAAACTAGAAAAAATATACATGAATTGTTCGACAAAATTACTATACATTTTTTGCCCTAATGAAAATCAATAAACGAAAATCAGTATTGTTCACTTGTAATTTTAAGGAATAAATAAAACGCTAAAAACCTGCGCATGGTACAAGCTCAAGCAACGTGGTTTATGAAGAGGTAACAACACTTTCACAAGAAACACCTTATGTTCTTGTTTTAAAGGTAAAGCAAAACCATTTATAATGCTGAAAAAAGAAAACAATACTTTTAAAGGCAACAAATTATCACTATTTGCATTTATAAGCTATACAAACTATGTTTTACTAAAACACAAGCGAGTCTTATAGAATGATATTAATAAAAAGCTTTTTTACCTTCCTAAGATCTCTAATAATTCACCAACACCATTGAATGAATCGGTTTCAAACACAAAACTGCAATTGAAGAACCACATAAAAACATTAATGAGAAGGAAAACAATTAAAAATGGCTTTAAAAAGAACTAAAATATCCACTAAAAAATATTTCCAGTAATCCACATTAAGAAATGTACTACATTATGCGGAAACAATGCAAATAAATAAAAGGGAAACAATTATCAAACAAGAATAAAAGGAAAATTATATCAAAAGATTTTTGGGCATTAACTTACGACAAGAACATGTTGTTTATTTGCTTCCTTATGAAAGCGCGTAAGCCAAGAAATTTTCCATAAATACGATGTAAAACGGTCTTCAAAAAATCCCGTTCACGCGGATCTTCCGAATCAAACAAGTCTAACAGCTGAATAAAAAAATCAAATGCTAAACATTTTGCAGAGGTAATAATTGCATTGTCATATTTTTTTAATTTAAATGCATCAAATGAGGAGGTGTAAAACTAACACTCAGCACGAATCGCTGATCAATATACTTTTTGCCAATTGCGGCTTGAAAATCAGGTGATTCCAGAAATCGTAGAAACAGTTCATATACCAACTAAAAAAAATAATACATTTGAAAAGATACAAAACTGTTAAGCTTTTCGCACAAGGAGACTGATCTGTTGTGATTAAACAAACAACCAAAGAAAACATTAGTTTGTTTCCTTTTTTTCAGTGGGGTTCCCCAATAGTATCAATAAATGAATACAAATAAACTTTTACACTAAATTTTAGGCACGAAATTTAAAAAAGCGTGCCTGTAGATGCGGCCAAGAAACTTCCAGTGTAGGTTCGTCTTCTTCAGGATCGAACTCTGAATTATCTGACGGTGGTAAAACACGGAATATGTTTTTTGAAGCCATCTTAATTATTTCAGGATATATTGATTCTGTTATAGCACCTTTTACCGTTGTGATATGATCTATTAATTCATTTAAGGCTGCTCGCTTAATCTGAAAATATAGCCTCGAGATGTTTTGAAGTTCAAAAATTAGTGGCGGCAATATCTGTAGTTTTAATTAATGAAATAATAAAATAGAGAAATGAAATTTTACTGAGAATAATATATTTCAATATGAGAAAAAAACCTGGAAATAAAGAAGCTCTCTTCCAATACAGCAAATTTTCTAACAATAGCCACAAATTTTACACCGATTTGTTTGATATGCAACAGCATTTAATCATTTATAATGATTATGAAAAGTGCTCACCTCTTTACTTTTAAGCTGAGACAACGGATCATAGAAGTCGAATACCTTTTGACATTGCTGCAATTTTTGAATAACAAGTGTTGGTTGATCTGCTACTGCTGCATCTGCAATTGTATAATTATTTCTCGAACAACTGTATCATTTTTGTAATAACAGATGCTTTTTTAAAACCGATCGTGTCATCTTTTTTGCTATTTCTGTAATGGATTGTTTGTAAATTTTAATGATCATATACATTTTATTGATAATAAGAATAACAAGCTTCTTTCAAAGGTTCCCATATAACTACGGATCTCTTGCTGATTCCATGGAGTTTCTGTTTCGCATGTGAATTTTAATGCTGCTTATAGCAAAATTAATATGTGAAACAAGAGAAAAGTCAATCTGTCTATTCTTCAAAAATAAACTCAAAAAATTCCTTGAAAAGTTGCAGTGTTATTGACGAAATGCGCCATAAAAACATAAATGCTCTACTTATTTTACATAAGGAAAAAAACGTGAATACTAATACAGAAACATATGCTGTATAATGTTAACAGAAATTTGCATTACTTCATCACATTTTCAGCAATTTTACTCATTCTTTTCATCAAAATTTCCTTCTTACTTCTTGGCTGTCATGCAAAAAATTTTGATATTTACATTTTTCTCTTGATATAAAAGACACCAAAAAAAGCTTACTAAATCTTTGAAAGATCGTCTGTTCATAGCTGACTCGTTTTGAATATATATTCTTAATTAATACAAATCAGGAAATTCACATATCAATTGGTTAATACTTGACGAGACAAAAAAATTCTTTCGCTAATTCATTTCTCTATACAAATATACAAATGCTATATAAAAGAAATCTTGTAGAATTATTGCACTCTTCATAAAAGTTATTTTTCAGACCTTTTCATGAATGTACCTTCAGAACAATCATATAGTTATTTATGAAAAAGTTTTATTGTTATTCCATCACCAATTTTTTGGTCATATCGGAAATAACGCTAAAAATTTAGCAAGCAGAAAAAGAATGAAAAATTAGATGAAAAACTGATGAAATAAAAAAATATAAGCCTAGATAGTCAGTAAATCCCACTGCAACTAGTGATTTTAATAAGGTATAAAATTCATTTATTCTTACACCTTTTTTTCGTCTGCTAAATTTTTATTCAAGCTTATACTTTTTATTATTTTTTACTGAGATCTTTTGTGACTCAAATACATCTAATTTCTATTGAGCTGCAGTACAAAGATTAGTGGTTCAATAAAGTGTCCAGAACCAAAATTTGATTGAATTATTAGAAAAATCTATGACACACTATAAATTTAATAGCATGATTTACTATCAAAAATAAATCAAATTCCATCACTGAATATGAAGTTATAATATATGTGACTTTAAAACTTTTTTACAAGAAACTAAATTCTAATTTGAAAATAAGTGAAATAATATATCGTTATGAAGAGCATCAGATGCATTTTATAGCAATATTAATAAAAATAAACATAAAAATTACTAAAAATTTTGGTTTAAAAAGTTGAAAAAAAAAAGGAAGAAAGACCATTTGCATAAAAGGTGAGTTCGACGTTCTTATGATGTTTTGAAGCGTCATACCATATAACGTATGTTGAAGTCTCAAGAATCATTATAATAATCTCAACAATCCACGTAATATAATACATATTTCATAATGATGCAAATAATCTGTGTCTTAGTGAAATACTACGGGATCATTAAGCTTTAAAGAGTATAGATCTACTTTGTAAAATGTGTAGGAAGTTTAGTGCGAAACCAAAAACTTCCAATTTAAAGAAAACTTAAAAAATACAAGGATTGAGAAAGAAACCTTTAATTAGTTGTAGTTGAGCCAATTCAGGTTCACTATCGGTGTGATATCTACTACTATTTACCAGTCTTCTTCGACGCCGACTCGTTCCTCTAAATATTAGAAAAATTTCTTATCATCACTTCGCCATGTTTTTTTTTTCAATGAAAGTAACAATAACTGTAAAAAAATCAAGATAAAGAACGCAAATTTCTGGTTAAAAAATGAACAAACAAAATTTAATCATTCACTTCATACAATCTGCATCAATTTAAAATTTTTCAAAAAGAGAAGTATAAAATTCATACCTATACTTTTTTAAATTTAAGAAAATATAAACCTTTTAGAAAATGGATCGATTTTGTCGACAAACTGTACAGCTGTAGCGGAAAGTTGCTGGCCTCCTGTTGCAGCACCTTGCGTTTTTGGCGGTGGTATCTGGTACTGCTGAACACTTACACCACCTTTATCTGCCATTTTTTTACCTAAAAATACTTTGAAATAGCAAATGATCACTTAACTAAAATAGTAAACTTAAACGTAGCACTTGGGTAATCAATTGATCCAAAAGCCAAAATATTTGGGCACCGTAGCCATATCTAATGCTGAGAAATCGCTAAAATATCTATAAGTTCACAATAATAATCAATAATTAAATATGACTAACTCTGTAAAAGTGAATGATATTTGCAGCGAAAATTTGATTGATGAAGTTATTCCAAATGTAAGTGCACTAATCATAGTAGCACTGTCATAACAGGCTACAAGAACGAATAAGAAATGTTCCACATTTAGTAGACACCTAAGAAAATAGAAATGCTCGAAGTTCAAAAATTTTTATTCCTTTTTTTTGAATTTTTTTAAATAAAATTTGTCACGGAATTTGATTTCACTTTTTTTTCATCAAAAACAGTTTTATACTATTTTAACCAAATATTCAGTCATATGTAATTATATTTTATAACGCAACTTTGATAAAAATCATGAGCAGACTGTTTTGAATCATATATATGAAAGTAAATTAACTTAAATAATTGTTATGCTAACGCTTTTGTGATTTCTTAAACCATTTCAATAATTTAACAGAATTTTACTATTGATAAATATTTTTGATACATTTATAAACTTCCAATATGATTAGTTTTCAGAAAATAAATAAGATCTGAGGATACAATAATAAATATCTAATCCAAGAGATTATTAAATATCATAGATAGGAATCGTACTAATCTTATGACATCACAATATTAATACCGAACTAACAATCAACTCAAGGACGAAAAAAATCTTAAAGACAATATCGAAAAAATGATTTAAAAGAATAAAAAAATCGACTTAAAGCAATTTTTCGGTATAGGAGTAAAATTCAACTTTTACAACGTAATATCATAATAAAATATCTTCAAAAACTTTTTAATTAAAATCACTAAGAAAAATTCTGAAAGATATTATAGCAAATTAACAATGAGCGTTTTGAAAATACCATGAATGTGAACAAAAATATTTTAATACTTTTTTCTCACTTTTTTTTATTAGGAATAATATGAAGGATCAATTTTGTGAGTGCTAATAATGAACGTAATGAACAGTAACTCAAATAGTGCATACCATTTTACATATCTTCGATTAAATAGTACTGTATAAAATTTCTTCTGCATCTACGTAATTTAAATCCTACAATATTGGTGTTACAGTTCAGATGTTGTTTATATATAGTATCAATATTTTGTTTCATAATTCGCATTACAGTATATTCAAGCACAATAAATTTACAGACGTTACGACATAAGCAACAAATAGCATAAGGTGTAATTTCACTGACGGTTGCAGTATATACACTAGAAAAAAGAAAAGACGTAATACTGCAGGGAATCTCTTCCATTTAGAAATAATTGTAAGGGATATAAAACTGATAAAATTCTTGTTTACAATCAGATTTTGATTTTTTAGTACATAATTAATATTGATTGATCACGTTAAAATTTGTCTAATCTCATTTTATATTTAAAATAAGCAATTAAAAATATTTAAAAAACATCATATTTTGTATGAATGATAAAAATGTTTCATTTAAGCACTGTTTCAAAATTGGAATATTTAATTTTGTTATACATGCTTTTTGCAATTCAAAGAAAATTGTCTACTAAATCAATAAACAGCAGTTAAACAGTATAAAGTTTAAATAACTTGAATTTGAAAAATACTATAGTAATCTTATTTTTTAAATAAAAATATTCAAATTAAAAGGTAGTAAATATGCACCAAATTACATCACATATGCAAATTTTTTCGTGTTATTATTCAAATATATCTATTTTTACAAAATAAAAAGTGAAAAAATGGATATAGTTTGTTAAAAGTTATTAAAACTTTTAGAAAGTAATAACTAAAAAGTATGCAATATTGCAAGTAGTAAATATGAGTGACCCTGAAAATAGTATTAAAGATTGACTGTAAATGAAACAAACTGTTAGAAGTGCGTATGAATTATTTACTGATTACAATGACGTAGTGAATCTCAATAAATAATTTATATTTAAACTTTAATAAACATTCTTTATTAAAGTTTACGAAAAACGCTAAAAATCAGGAATTATTGCAAAAAGATTAGAAATTATCGCAAAAAGATTAGGAATTATTGCAAAAAAAATCAGAAATTACTGCAAAAAAAAGAAAAAGATTTTAAAAACTTTTGATATAACGAGAAATTTTAATAGTTTTCAGTAAAATATAATAATAAAATATGAAAATTTTTAAGCAAAAATAAAAAATGAGCAGAAAAAACTCAAAAAAGTAATCTTAGTGTAAAATTATGACGTTTGCGATTTGTATCTTAGAAGTTTAAAAGTGCTATAAAATATTACTGATTGCAACGCGTAGTTCATAGCAAATAGGTCGTCGTCATATTGCAGCAAAAAAATTTTGATTAAAAAATTATTCAAATTATTTTAG